TTGCTCACAATAAAGTGGGCAGGTTTCACGATACCATAAAATTACACTTTGCATAGCCTCCCCAAAGGCTATCTAATCCTGGCTGGAATGACAGTTCGAGCATGATTTGACTTTGTCAGCACCCTACTAGACTAAATGAGACTAAGTGGGAAATGAGGCATACTCATTTAATTATTGGAATGAACAAAAATCGGACCTTAATCAGAGTATGCGACAATATTTAAGATAAAGAGATATTTGTAAAATATATCAACAATGAAAATAATTAAACTAAAGGCTGTTTGACCTCGTCTTCGCTACATGGAGGTATTTTCTGTGAAAACTCCAGCAAAACTTTTTTTCTGGAGTCCATAGTATCCATGATAAATACCATATGCAGCCAATCCTAATGTCACTTCCCTGTCGACTTCATGTCCCGTCTGAGCAATGTGTTCCGCTTTTTCGAATCTTTTCGTATCCATGTTCAACATTTCCTTATTTTATGCAATAAACTTCCAAGCAATCCAGTTTATCAACCTTTTCGTTTTTTACCGTAAGGCTGATAAATGCTGTATTTTTCTTTATCACCTTGTAATTCCATTTTCTCAGAAACGGTAGTAATTTTTCACTTAGTCCACAGGAGAGCAAACATATCCACTGTTAGTCGTCATCCCGACTCCTGATTCTAATTTTTTTAATATTTAAGGTGATATCTGCTCAGTATGCACCATATATTTCATTCTATAAATTCGCCTGGGTATTCCTTACTGATTATAATTCAAGTCACATTATTCAATACTGCATCCTATGTCCGTTATTTTTAACCTTCTGTCGATAAAACTTTTCATTGTTCTTATCTTCAGTCCATAGTTATGATAAGACGGGAAAACGATGATTATTCCCGCATGCGATTTCTTTGTGAATAATTTCCTCCTGGAGCGCATGACATCAGCATTTAGTTAAAGTAAAAACTAATTCGTCTTCACCTCTATTTCTAATTTAATTATTACATCCATTGGCTTATAAGGTTAAAGAATCCATCGAAATTTTCTTTTTCAGGTGACCAAAATACAAAGTAGTCATCAAGGTGTCGCATAAGCACTCTTGATTGAAGCGGTGACTTCTCATATTCCTTTTACAATTTGTCTATATATAAATTAGCTAAGAGATGAGAGTAGGGATTCTATAGGTAGTCCACATATTTGCTAATAGATATTGCCGTTAAATGCAAAATAGATGCTAATGACTGTCAGGTTGATCAATCGTGTTAAGGACTCCTGTACCCGCTCAGCTTCAAGAATATCCCCCTCTTGTTTCAAAATCTCCAGCAATGAGGACCACATATTTTACAGCCAATTGCAATGCTTGTGACAAAAGGAGACCATGAACATTCTGAAGGCCACATTATCTTCGTCTTCATACTTTAAACTACAACTAAATAAAAGGGGTTAACTTTGCAAAGCTTTCGCAAAGAAAGTCTATACACACTTCCTTGGCCCCTATAAGCTTAGCGACAAGGTAATTATGCTCATTGATGCGAGGGCTCCTACCTAGGTTTAATCTCATTGAAGTCTACCGGATTTCAGATTCAGTATTTAGCCAAGGAAAAGAAAATAAAACAAATGAAATGTTTGACTCTGCGGATCAATTCAAAAAGGATATTGAAGGAGAACATCTTCTCGGTAAGGAATGGGTAGCAATTGTGAAGAAAACTAGGTTTAGAAGAATGCCTGAGTGATATATTTTGACATGACTTTCAGTTCCAAAAGAAAAGTTGGTCGGTCTCACTGGAAACCGAAAAGGGAGAAGAAGAATGCTGCGACCACCGAAATCAGTGAGTTTAGTGCAGACATATATGGATACTTAAACTGTAATACATGTAGAAGTTGATTAACCTTGTTTTCGCAGCTTGGTCATATTGGTAGGAAGACTTAGAGGAACGCACCTAGTCCGGAGTCTATTGTATGCATCATCATTTACAGAGTAGGACCGTGGACGTGGAACATTCACATACGTTTCATCGGCATCGTCAGTAAGTCTTGCCATTCTTAGCATCATACAACAACTCGTCAGAGACAAGTGAAGCCGATCCTTTGACCAAATGTGTGCTAAGCAGTTGTGGCATCTCTCCTTTTTTCCTGGGCTATTCACCTTTCCTATATCCTCCTATCACGCCTTCACTATCACATTTTTTCCTTGCTTGTGTGAATGTGTTGTGATGTGCCCTTTTAAGCGACTTTCATGAGAACCCTCTAGACTCCACACTGGCGTTCTCACCCCCCTTCACCCCTGTGCTGGGAATGTTGTACAGTCCTCCCTCCCTAGGTCTTATCAGTCTCCCCCTTACCCCGAGAATCCGGCTTCTATCTCCATGGTTCAAGTATTTTACTCGACCTCTGCCACCCAATCTGTGCTACTCGAGGCGTTATTTCCCACACTCTGTGTCTGAGAGACTAACTCGAGGCTAAAGACCCCAGGTAAGTGTCATGATCAGATGATTGCTTCACGCACCACGTTTATTTAAGCCAACTAGCCCTAGTCTCTGCCGCTTCTATGCTGCTTCTATCACTAATACCAAGTTTATGACTTTCTATGCACTAGTCTCTTGTGTGCCAACCCACAAATGTCGTGGTACTGCTTACTTTGATAAGATTTAAAGTTGAACCATAATGTTCGTGGGTTGCCACCCATGTGCATGTAGTACATGTACCCTGGCAAATCGGTCTCTAAGGCAAGATAACAAGCTAACTCAAAGCAATGAGCACTGCTGTTAGGGAGGCCTACAGACCATCAAATAACAAGACAATGGCTTGGACGACAAAGAATCAACTAGGATATGCTAGGGAAGAGGTGATAGCAGAAAGATGGGTGATTACCGAACGCTGCTTGCCCAGAGTCCATAATCTGCATAATAATTTCCAGCCGGCCCTTGGACTTGGCACATTCCCAGACGTTTCTCCTGCATCGCCAGTGAGCCTTGCCACTCTTGGCACCACACCACACCACAACTCATCAAAGGCACTTGTCTCATCGTAGTGTGGTGCTAAAAATGGCAATGCTCACTGAAGATGCAGGAGAAACGTCTGAGAATGTACCAAATCCACGGTCGGACTGAAAATTATCATGCATATTATGGACTCCAGACAAGGTGCATTCCTCTCGGTATTCCTGCTAATATGATCAAGTTGCGCAATCAAGGTCAGACAACTATTGTACAACGAAGGGATTCCGCGACCATACAAAAGGCCACACCATCTTAGCTTTCATAGCTTTGATAAAACCTATATATTTTCGTTTTTTAATCGTGAGGATCTAGAGTCTTTTGGGTATAGCAAGCTAGTTTTTTTATCAAGTTTTAACATGAAACTTTTGATAGAATGACTTACAGAGCTGACGATATCTATCTTATGACAGACAAAAGCTCAGCCCAAGTTGTATCGAAACGATAGAAGTCTCGTAAAAAGCGCTAACCTAAGTGTTGTAATAAAATCAAGGGGCTGTAGAACAACAATAATTAGTTGACATCTTCTAAGAAGATCGACCTACAAATCTCTTCATCAGACACCCTTATACAAAATAAAGTCACTACAACAAGAAAATTTTCATTCAACACGATAGTTATGATAATATGCAGAAACTGTCATGTCACACGATTAATAAATATAAGATTTACCATTGTATATCGAGGCAGCAGCAAAGAGAGCATCACGATTAAGAGATAGAGGGCGATTCCAAGAGGAAGCGGACTCGCCCATATCTTGAAGATCGGACATCAGAGCAAACATGTCAGGATACATGATTCGACGACTGTCCACATCCTGAACAATAAGAATATGAGAAATTGAAAACGAAACTAAGAGATGCAATGACGAATTTAAAAGTAGAACATAATACCTTGACTACATATAAACAGATATGAGTATTGATGGAGTGAACTAATTTATGTAAAGTCGCGTGATGAAAGAGTAAAATTAAATAACAGAAAGTCAAAGATACTTCACTACAAGCTATTCATCATACATTTTTACATGAAAATAAAGTCAGTTTACCACTGATTGAGTGACACCCATCTTCTCTCATTAATAGGATGAACTTATGGTACAAATTGCAATAATTACTCTCATTCTTTCATAATCTTCGTCCTGCCATCGGCTCTTCATGGCCAGTATGTTTCTTATTATTACTTCTCTCGGATGTCCATTGCCGAGGAATATTCGAGTCAATTTTTCCTATTCTTCATCCCAGAATTGCACGTCCGTTAATCTTAAGCTTCTGGGATAAAAAATTGGAAAAAGTGAATAGGATATTCCTCGGTAATAGTTATCCGAGAAAAGTAATACAAAGAAACATACTGGACGTGAAGAGCCGATGGTAAGAAAGCTTAGCACCTTTTCACCGGAATCAAAGGAGATTGCCTCTAAAACAGCGTC